GAGCACAAAGAAGCAGAAAAGAGACAATTCCTCCAGACAAAGATGAAACTCCAGGCAGCGAAGAACACAGATTCTGAACACGTATAGAGCGTTATAGTGTGTCAGTTATGGTTTCCCATCCCTAAATTGACCTCACATTAGTTCATAAGTAGCAGAAAAAAAGTCTTTAAATTACTTACTTCAACATGATGAATAGAAATAAATTTTTTTTGTACAAAAACAATAAAAGAATGTTTCACACATCCATATAAATGAATGCTTTGGTCGTTTCTTTTTACTTAAAATTCATTTTAATATATATACTGTATATATTTACACCTTAACTTAAACTTTTTTAATACCCAATGCAAGTAAGTGGTTTTCAGTTCATCAGCCATTTCTTCTGACTGTCATTTGAAGTGTTGCAACTCTGTCAGCAGGGCGGAGACAACAGAGAAACGAGCCCCCCACCCCACCCATCCCTGATGTAGCATTCAGTCCTCCTCCTAACCCTAACCCCACCTTGATAACAGAATATATTCATTTCCTTAGTGAGAACAGTTTATCTAAAAGGGTCCTGCACAAATAGTTTGGTTCTTTACAAATACAGTAACTGGCAGTACCCATTAGCTTTTCAAAGCAACAGTTCTGTCTTAGCAAATTCTGTGTGTTAGATACAAATACTGATATGCACAAAGAGCTAATTTCCTAAAAGAAAAAAAAAAGTACAGAATTGCAGCATAATGAATGGGATATACTGTATGCAATAACTTAGTTTTCAACCAGTTCGATTATACATTGTGGCTCAGTAGAGGCCAGGCTAGTTCACAGGTTAAATAAAGGGGAGGGCATCGACCTCCCCCTCTGCACACACCATCACTGTTTTGTAGCCTTCGACAGTGTCAGCACGACTGTGTCGCATATTGTTCCATTTATGACAAACTGCGATAGAAAATACAAATTCTTACAAACATTGTGTTTTTAAAGCTACTTGTGAAACAAAAACAGTGCAATAGGTGCAAGCGTGCCAGTTGTTGACCCTGTAGTGCAGCTGACATGATGGACCGCTATAAGAAGGGGTTTGTGGAAGAGCCTCCAGCTGGATACTGCGCAGGTGGACCCGCACCCTAGAACGAAAAAGGGAAGCACGCATTTAGACTGTACTAAGGTTCTTGTCCAGTGTTAACTGAGAAGAAAGTATGCTAGCTATATGGCTGTTCACCAGAGCAATGGGCTGGTTATTCAAAAAACAAAAAACAAAAACAAAAAACAAAGCCATCCCTCACAATAAAATCTACACAAAGAACTGAAGTTTCTTAATTTATTTTTGTGTTAAACACAGATCAAAAGTGCTGTGCAAAAGTCTCGAGCCACCTCGTAGTATTTTATTCTATTGCATATAGTTTTTTATTCTTTTTATCTTCTCCTATACCTTTTTTCTTTCATTTGTGTTGTTCTAACTTTGCACTGTCTACTTTCTGCTGTGACACAACAAATTTCCCATGTGTGGGAATAATAAAGCTTTATCTTATCTATCTTATCAACAGGTGCAGGAGGTTATTCAAATGTGAAACACTTTTCCTGTGACACACAGGAAAATACAGCATGAGTCAACAACTGTTTGTACAGGTTCTAATATACCTAAGTCAAAATTTTGTATCACCACCTTTATTCTTCAACACAGACTAAACCCTCTTTGGCAGCTCTCTAGTAATTACGTTAACTAGTCATGAGGAATAGTTCTCCAGGCTTCTTGAAGGACATTCAAAGCTCTTCTTTGGATGTTGGCTGACTTTTGTTCTGTTTTCTGTCAAGATGATTCCACACTACTTCAATAATGTTATGGCTCGGGCTCTGGGGAGGCCAATCCATGACTGATAGTGTTCCACTGCATGGTTTTCCATTCAGATTTGCTTTTGGCAGTGTGTTTAGGATCATTGTCATGGTGACAAATATAGCAGCAAAGTGGTTCAGAAGGTCCTGAGTTTGACTCCACTATCTGTGTGGAGTAGAGCTGGGCGATAGAACGATAACGATATGTATCGCGATATAACTTTTACTCGATAGAGAAATTAAGCTATCGCGATAGACCTCGCCGCTCTTGTCCTCAAAAAAAAAAAAAAAAAAAAAAAGGTCAGCCAATCCAAATTAAGTAGCGCAGAGCCGAACCAATCACAGCCGCAGCGTCACGTCGCGTGACTTGTTACGTACAGCACAAGTGCCAAGCCGCACGTGTGTTTGTTTGGGAAGCAGCCAGCGGGTAATGGAGGAAATGAGTGTGCCGACTAGAAAAATCAACCGAGCGTGACCGAAGAGAAAACAGATGATGGTTCCAACGCCGGAGAGATTGTCGAACGGAAGAGCCATAGAAGTTCCGTAGTGTGAAGGTATTTCGGCTATTTCAAGTCTGACAAAAAACAGAGTAGCGTGCACTGTAAATTGTGCCGAAAGCAAGTCTGGAAATACAATAAACTGGTGCATGCGTCACACTGTGCGCCACGTTATTGTTTCGGTGAAATGAATTTCTACAATACTGTTAATTCTGTGAGCAACGGCACATTTAAATCTTACAAATATAGTTATTTGGCTTATATCGTGATAGATATCGTTATCGCCTGAAATGGAAAAAACATATCGTGATATGAAAAAATCTCATATCGCCCAGCTCTAGTGTGGAGTTTGCATATTGTCCCCATGTTTGCATGAGTTATTGGTGTGAGTATGAATGGTTGTCTCTCCATGTTAGCCCTGTAAAAGCCTGGCTGCCTCTCACGGGTAGCCGGGGTAGGCTCCAGTCTCCACAGTGTCTTACAGATGTCTGTATACACAGTGGAACCCTCTCCTGACTTTTTTGAACATACTGCTTCCTGAAGGATGGCTTCTTGTCGGCCACCCTTCCACTAAGACTATTTCTGATGGATCAACTGAAGCGTCAAATGATGAGGGTCAGCTCTCATGTCTTGTGTCAGCTCTTGTTGGATTAAAAAACAAGAAAAAAAAGAAATCTATTTCTTAACAGCATGACTTTCATTATACTTTTCGTCTGCGGTAGATTTATTTATGTTTTTGTCCTAACACATACCATTTTATGTCTATCAAACTATGTTTTTATTGGCATTTTTCAACTAAATAATCTGTTCTGGTTCATTTCCAAGTTGTCTGCTATGTGTAGAAACACTGGGTCATGCATTGAGTTAGTCACCTTTTTTATACTTGAATGATTGACAGGTCAAGTGGCTTAAACAAACATCTGAAAATGTTCAGGCACAAGGACTGAACTGAAAACGCCAGGCTGCTTAGAAGCAAGATATTACAGTGGCTTGCAAAAGTATTCGGCCCCCTTGAACTTTCCCACATTTTGTCACATTACAGCCACAAACATTAATCAATTTTATTGGAATTCCACGTGAAAGACCAACACAAAGTGGTGTACACGTGAGAAGTGGAACAAAAATCATACATGATTCCAAACATTTTTTACAAATAAATAACTGCAAAGTGGGGTGTGCGTAATTATTCAGCACCCTTTGGGGGGCAACAATGGAATGGTTTAAAACAAAACATATCCATGTGTTAGAACGGCCCAAAGTCCAGATCTAAATCCAATCGAGAACCTCTGGCAAGATCTGAAAACTGCTGTTCACAAACGCTGTCCATCTAATCTGACTGAGCTGGAGCTGTTTTGCAAAGAAGAATGGGCAAGGATTTCGGTCTCTAGATGTGCAAAGCTGGTAGAGACAGACCCTAAAAGACCAGCTGATGTAATTGCAGCAAACAGTGGTTCTACAAAGTGTTGACTCAGGGGGCTGAATATTTACGCACACCCCACTTTCCAGTTATTTATTTGTGAAAAATGTTTGGAATCATACATGATTTTTGTTCCACTTCTCACGTGTACACCACTTTGTATTGGTCTTTCATGTGGAATTCCAATAAAATTGATTCATGTTTGTGGGGGCCGAATACAAGCCACTGTAAGAAATGAAAGATGAGTTAAGATTTTTGCACAGTACTGATCCAGGAGACTATAGCACATAGCCACCAGACTAACCAGAAAAGGGTTGCTAGAGACCATAGGTCCTGCCATTGCCTGCCCAAAAGGAGTTGCAACAGACTTGGCCTGGCCGAAGGCTGGAAATCCTCCACCTGAAAGACATAATGTGATTTCAACTGTTACATGATGGACATGGATCTCTCTCTCTCTCATTTATCTATCTAGCTTGCTCTATATTATTTTCATATAGCTATAAATATAATTAAAACAATAATAACAATAATAATAATAATATTACCAAATCAAATAAGACCTCTTCCGTCAGGGTTAATTGAGTGAACCAAATATTACATGAAGAAAAATTTTATAGACGACCACTTGACAACTTCAGCTCAAATCTCACCATAGCCATTATTGTCTACATGACACACACCGTTGGGTTGCTGGGGATAGGCGGGAGGCTGAGGGAAGGGAGCCTGACCAGGAAAGGGTTGCTGGAACGTTCCACTAAAGCTGGTGGGGAGGTTGAAGGCTGCAGTATTCCCAAATCCAGCTGGCATACTCATGGAGCCTGTGCCAAATGGTGCTGCAAAATAGCAGAACAGCAACATTTAGGAACCAACAAAAGCTCAACACATAATAGGCAAAATTTGGTTTGATCTATTGCTGCGATTCTGTAACCCAGTGTGACTCGTTTTGGGCAAAAACGTCTACAATTCAGTATTGTGTGTCGTGCTGGGATTGTCAGAATCTCAGTTTTGTTTCGTTTTTTATTTGGCTAGTTTAAACACATGCAATAAGAGTGTCTGCACACAAGCTGTAGAAAAAAAGAAAAGAGGGAGTCAGAATCAGACATCAGTAAGTAGGGATGGGTACCGGTATCCGGTGCCATGATGGCACCGGTTCTGACATAAATGGTAGTAACCAGACCGAAAAGCAGCGCACATTTCAGTGCTTTATTTCGGTGCTTTTCTTCCTGAGATGTGATACACTTTGAATTCTAGCCAATCATTTTACGTTTCCAAGGATAGTAGGCGGGTCCAGGTACGTACGTTCTTTTAGAGCACAGCTACAGAGTAAAAATGCCCAAGGAGGACCAGTCAAAGTCTAGCTGTACTTCACAGCAAAATATGCAAACTCAGCAGCCTGCAACAAGTGCTTTAAGCTGATACTGTGATACTGTCAAAGGAGGTAACATCTCAAATCTGATGAAACACCTGGCGACGTATAGTGTTTTTTTAAACGCCGAGAAATGCGCCGTATTTGATAGCTTGCTGCAGACCTCACATCGAGCGCATCTACTGCAGGTGGGTTGCCTGTTATCAGACCCGGAGTTAGCAACATCCCCCAAAAACCCGAAGAGGAGGGTCCTGGCCCCTAGCCCTGCCAGTGTAGCAGAAATGATGAGGATGATGATGACAGTAGTAGCTGTTCTGCTCTGCGTGACTAGCTTAATGTTGTTGGTGTGTAATTTACGTTGAGTAGGCTAACCACGTTATTAAATGAATGCATGTAAGGTGAACTAGCAAACACCATCATAGCTACATGTGGCTGTCTTCTTGTTTGATGACAGATACTCCCTTCACCCTGGCCAAAAAGGCTAAAATGACCAAAGAAAAAGTGGAAAACAGTTAAACATGAGAGGTTTTGGACAAAGTTTGTGTTTTTTTCCATTGTTTAAGCACTGCTTCCAGCCAAGAGTGATACCATATATGCCCTATAGCTGCAGAAAAGGCTAACACTGTTATCTTTTTACAAAAAAAACAAAACAAAAAAACAAACAAACAGCTGAACATGAGAGATTTTTGACCAATTTTGTGTTCTCCATTCTTTAAGCACCGGTTTGAGCACCGTTTAAGCATCAGCACCGTTTCAAAAGTACCGGTTTGGCACCGGTATCGGATAAAACCTAAACGATACCCATCCCTATCAGTAAGTTTAGTGGCAGTGTCTGATCTCTGGTGAACACACAGGAGCAACAGCTGGGATCAAAATGTGTCAGACAGCCAGCTAAAAACCAAGCAATTCTATCAGTGATTTAAGAAAAACAAAAGAAAACACACACACACACACACACACACACACACACACACACACACACACACAGTTTACAGCTGATAAAGTGATACAGGCTTCATTCATTCATTGAATGAAGCATATCTGGTAATTAGCGTGATTAATAACTCAGGGTGTAAGTTTTCGTTTAATGAACAATAAAGTTTAATATTTCCCCTTTAATTCTTTAACCGAGAAGAGGACCATGCTGCAGAAACCACAGATATTTGGGAAACATGAATCCATCCTCAAACCTATCGTTATTAGTCATTTCTCATTCAGCTTCACTCTGTTCCTCTGTGATGAAATGGTAACTGGATTATTGGGCTATTTCAGTGGTGCCGTGTTTACGTCTTTCGAGATTTTCCTCAGTGACAGCTAAAATCATTCACTGGCAGAGCAAAGCACATGAGAGCAAAGGGGAAGCAGTTAGCACAAACAAACCTACCAAAGGTGGGAGGATACCCATGCCAATGAAGAACCCTCATCAAGCCTGTCCAGCACGCCAAGGACAATAAGACAGACAACTGAATCTAAAAATTCTTCACCATACCGATTTATTTTTAAAATCAATCTCTGCACACCAGTAAATGGCAACACTTCTCTTGCTAACCAGTTCCATAGTGAATTGTAGTTTTCAATCTTTTTGCCCTCCTCCACTTTCCTGTTGCTTTTTCTGTGTTTGGCACTGTCAGAGATATAATCACTTCTGAGGTAGCACAGGCAAAGGTTGCCACTTCCAATGTGCAAAAAAAGACCGCTTTTAATACACTAACTTTATGACTGAACAAGTGCATTTCATTTCTATACACACTGTTAAACTGAACTACTAAACTAAATGAGTAAGCAGGGTGTTAAGTGAGTAAGGTGATTCTCAAAACACACACAGACACAGCCAACAAAAACAAACCTGCTGCAGCTGCAACAGTTGCTGCTCTGCCATTGCACTGGAATGGGTTGGTTGGAGCTGCTGCTGGGACAACACCAGGAGCTACAAATGGATTGGTTGGGTGTACTGATGGGAAAAACAGCATCAAATTAACATTAATTAGCATGAAGTCCTAAGCAGAAGAATGCATTAAACATTTTTCTTTTTTAAAGATAGCTTATAGAGGGTGTTTTGACAGTTCCACGTCAATGTCCTTTATATATCACAACAAACTAATTAACTAATGTTAATGAAACAAAAATAAATTCTTGACCATACTAGGCTGATTCTTGCCAAATTAAGTTTTAAGTTATGATAAAGTTATGATGCTTTAAGAATCATCATTTAAGTACGCAAGTTGTACAAAATGAAACTGCCAAATCAAAACATGAACAATTACTAACAACCGTGTCAATTTTGTGAACATTGTTACCATAACAAATCAGAGACGTGTTTAAGTTCACTTACCTCCAAAACCCTGAGCCATGCTGGGCACAGCCTGCTGTATTTGTGCTGTTGACACCCCCGTCTCTGAGCCAAACACACTCCTGTAGTGACACACCGTTAGCACATAGGTTTAGGAAAGGATGCAAAAAGAAAGGTACTCGGTGGCCTTTTCCTAAGTGTATTCTGGAACACTGATCATCAGAATGAAGAAAAAAAGATTTGTCTGATTTATGTTGGTTTGTGCAGTCTCTTACCCTTGTGAGGTGCTGGTGGTATTGTAAACAATGGTGGCAGGTGCTGAGGTGCTGAAGACTGTATCAAGCTCAGCTAGAGCAGCATAGCGGTCTCCACCTGCTGGCTGTTTCTGAGGCAAACCACCCACTCCTGCTGCTGCTGCTGCTGAGCTCACCCCACCAGGAATACCACCTCCTAGAATAGAAGTACATAAAAGCAAAGCCAGGTTCAATTTACCTCAGTTCACTTAATGCAGAAGAAAATGCTGTTAAACTTTCAAAGAGGTCCGGAGATAGCTGCCATACTGAACCTACTGAAATTAATAGGGAATAAATGTTAGGTCATTAGGAAGTGTATATTTTCTAGGCCAAAAATACATATTTATATGAGAAAAACCAGCTCAGTACAATTCACAGATACTCAAACACCAAACTTCTAATAATGTGGTATTAAAATGCTTCAGTCAAACCTAGATGTATAGCATTCACAGAAGCGAGGAGGCATTTCAGTCATGTCCAGTTGCCTTTTTGCAGCTGGTTCAGTAACATTGAGGTATAGACAATCGTGATCAGAAGTTTACATTCCCTGTAAGAATTAATGTCCTGGCAATTTGGGGATTTTGAGCATTTCTTTGTCATTGTTCTAAGAAGCAGGATTGTTCAAAGTCCAAGGAAGTCAGTGAAGATACGAGTATTGGTCAATTCAATGGCTGCTATCAAACAAATTCTTTTTATGCTGGCAAAGAGGCCAGAAACTACCAGTTACAGTCAATCATCAGTAACGAGAAGTTAAAAGGTTTTGGCCTTGTCAAGTTAAAAGATTATAGAACCTTTAGCACTGCTTATTAAAAGATTTAAGTGAATGTACGCATATATTTGAGTCCATATTTATGATTTTGATCCTAAATGAATTAGATAACCTCCCAAACGAATTAAAACGTGTGCAATTTTTTTAAGTCATTAGTCTAAAAGCCCAAAATTACCTTGACATTCATGCCCACGATGAGTGTATGTAAACTTCTGACCTCTACTGCAAGTATAAATTGCTAGAAAATGTAAACCAGCCCTTTTTTAGAGACTGCCTATCCCTGCCAGGAGAAGAAAACTTATAGGGACTTAAATCTATGCGCCTAATTAAACCTAGTTTTCAGTTTGTATTTTTGTTTTTCCAGTCATTCTCTAGCCCTACAATGGACATCTATGAAACAGGCTAGGCATGAAGGGTTTACCTGGCTCTGTTTTGGCAGAGCTAAATATGTTATCCAGGTCAGCCAGGGCTGCGTATTTATCGGCAGAAATGTTAGTACTCTGTACAACGTCTCTGCCAGCTCCTGTGGAGTTACTCTGGGAGGAGGAACTGAAGGATCCAAAGTCAGCACTACACGATTTGGGGAAGTTCTCAAAATTTGCAAAACTGGCATTTGCTAGTCCCCCTGAGGCGCTACCTGTATGAAAGAGAGAGATTAAAGAGTCATAAGGGGGACTGTAATTGTTGGTTTTGAGAAACAACAAAACAGGTTGGAGAGGGAGAGAAGAAGCTGCATGAAGGGTAAACTTGGGCGTCAGGCTGGTAAAGGGACACCTTCTAAAGGATAGATAGCAACATCAGTCCTTTGTTACACTGCACTATGCTGGCTTTTCATTAGCCTATGAACCAAAAGAGCACACACAATTAGCACTTATATGTGTTAGAGGCTGAGCATGTGCAGGGCAGCAATTTTCTTGTGTAACTCCAATACTTCCGACTTCACCACGATACTGTGGAGAAAGGAAGTTAAAGACAAAACTCATCAAAATGTATTCACTGAGAGATAGAAAACAAGTTGCTATCTCCCAAAAAATCTCTTTAATATGCCAACAACCCTGCAGATTTTACTGAGCGCTGTAATATCAACACGATCACTCTCAAGCAGGTCTAAACGTGTTAGAGCAGAACGAAACATTAATCTCTTAATGTTTACCTATTTTCTGCAACAGACTGCAAAATAATCACTCTGGACATCTTTATGCAACTAATTCAACACGCCATGCCAATGCTTGGAAACCCTCAGTTCACACATTCCTGCATATTACAGAGAAAAATTGAGGTTTTGCTACAGAGCAGTAATTTCCAAATTGCAGCACATGAAGAGCAGATTTGTATGGAGCCCATTAAAAGCAAACACAGAATAATAAATTATTTTGGACACCGAGGTAAAACAATCAGAGCTAACTGGGACGCAGCACAGTTGTTGTGACCCTAAGGGGGAGAGAAGGCAATTTTTAGTAATGACACCGATACCGCTGCATTTTAATCAGCAGTTCACTGCTTTCTATGAAATATTGGTTATTTAATGAGTTTTAGGTCAGGGACACTAAAGGAGTCCGAGTTTAAAGGCATCCCACATTACAGTTTACAAAAAATAGATTCTAGGATAAAAGCTTTTGTAGAAGTAATTTTTGCATAAAAATCTAGAGGCTAAGCACATTAAAAAAATATATTATTATTATTGCTTGAGGGGAAAATATGCATCTCCTCTTATCATCTCATGTTGCCTTGTTGGATTTTTACACACTTTGGTCTATTTTGCACAGTAGGTCATATTAATCATTGCAACAATCAAAGATTAGTAGACTTATGTTTAACCACTGAGCTTTATCAGCTGTTAATTTTAGTATAAATGGACCAAAAAAAAAAAAAAAAAAAAACCCACAGTGAGACACACACACACACACAACACCCAAAGAGAGGATTGGGATCACAATGACTACACATACAAGATGGGTGAGAGAGTGAAAGCTGTTATGAGGGCAAGCGCAGAGAGACTTACTGTGTGAACACTGGAGAGGAAGAGCAGTGGCAAACTCACCCATACTGCGGCTGGATGAGAGCACAGTGAACGCTTGCAGCCACAAATCAAAGAGGGAGGCAGAAATGGGGTAATGAGCAATGTAAGATGGCAGAGAAATCAAAGAAAAGATGTCAGGTAACCCAGAGGTAAACATTATGAAGTGCTAAATCAAAGCAAATCAAATACTGTTAAAGGATAAAAAATAAAAAAAAAACCCAAAACAAAAAACAAGTAAGACAGATTTGACAGCTGAAGGCAGACAGTGCCTGTGAGAAAGCCACTTAAAAATGTTTCCAATAAAAATAAACACTAAGGAGGCTGCTTCACACAGAGTCAATATGCACCTCCAGCAGAGGGCACTGTAGTACAACATTTTCCTGACAGGAAGTGAAGTTTGTGGCAGTAACTACTGTTCAAATAAGAGTATGTGACTTATGAGTCAAAGTAGAGCTGGGCGATAGAACGATAACGATATGTATCGCGATATAACTTTTACTCGATAGAGAAATTAAGCTATCGCGATAGACCTCGCCGCTCTTGTCCTCTTAAAAAAAAAAAAAATAAAAAAAAAAAAAAAAAAAGGTCAGCCAATCCAAATAAGTAGCGCAGAGCCGAACCAATCACAGCCGCAGCGTCACGTCGCGTGACTTGTTACGTACAGCACAAGTGCCAAGCCGCACGTGTGTTTGTTTGGGAAGCAGCCAGCGGGTAATGGAGGAAATGAGTGTGCCGACTAGAAAAATCAACCGAGCGTGACCGAAGAGAAAACAGATGATGGTTCCAACGCCGGAGAGATTGTCGAACGGAAGAGCCATAGAAGTTCCGTAGTGTGAAGGTATTTCGGCTATTTCAAGTCTGACAAAAAACAGAGTAGCGTGCACTGTAAATTGTGCCGAAAGCAAGTCTGGAAATACAATAAACTGGTGCATGCGTCACACTGTGCGCCACGTTATTGTTTCGGTGAAATGAATTTCTACAATACTGTTACTGTTAATTCTACTCTCTGCAGTGTTTAAATGCTTACATATACACACAGCTACTGTCCCTCCACACATACGACTCGGTTCTGCTTCTATGCCCCAGCTTTGTTTACTTTTTCCCACCGAGGCTTCTAGACTTCTGATTGGCCAACATTTCTGCACGGTTAGGAATCTAGCGCCACCTGCTGCTTTGGCATGTTCATAGCAGCGTTTTCCTTCATTTCTGCCTTTATGTGTGGACGGGATTATTTTTTAAAACGAAAACGGAAAATCTCCGTTTTCAAAAATACCCGTGTACGTGTGGACGTAGCCTCAGTCTCTGACTGGAAGCGCTAATTCGTCATTCGGCTTTTGTCAGACTAAAGTAACTGTTAAAACTGTTTGAAAAGCTAAGCTATACAACAAGGAGAGATTGAGAATTTCCTTTTAGTTCTCAGTTTATTTGATATTGACAAAAGTTAGTCAGTTTTGTCTGTTCTTCTGTAAAACAAACTAAGATTTATTTTTAGAATTAATATTTTGTTTCTAAGTGGAATTGACAATTTAGTCTGTTTCGTTTGTTCTATTTTGAAACTTAAACGCTTTAGCGGCTGCCTTTTGTGTAGTTTGCAATATTTGCCTTTATTTATCTGAAAAAGTCTCATGTTTCTTTAGTACATCTACCCTGTTGAACTTATTATGGGAAATAAATATTTAAATAAAAACAAGCTGCTGATTATTTCACATTTTACTTGTGAGCAACGGCACATTTAAATCTTACAAATATAGTTATTTGGCTTATATCGTGATAGATATCGTTATCGCCTGAAATGAAAAAAACATATCGTGATATGAAAAAATCTCATATCGCCCAGCTCTAAGTCAAAGTGCTGAAAATAAGCCAGAGGATGTGTCAATAAGCTGCCAATGTATTTTTGAAACACTGTAGGAGAGAGAGAGAGAAAAAGCTTTGGCTGACAACGCATGTATTGATTAGCGCTCATCTATTGCACAACACCAGCATTAATTTAGAACCTCAAAAGTACGCAACAATGTTAGTTTCTCAGACATGTGGCTAAGCTGTATGAAGCTTGTGTATGCCCAAAGCAAAGTTTACAGTAAATGTCTCTAGTGAGGTACAGTGGATAATCTCCTGAACACAGTACTTCACGTCTTAGTCTCTTTTACTCTCTTTTAAACAGGTTCATCAGAAAACCGTACAACTCTCTGGTGTAAAGAAATGTTTACATTTGAACAAAAAAATGAATGAACACTACACATATGTAAAGGTTTGGGAACAGAGGTGATACAACAGTTTAAATAAACCAACAAATGATGATGTGAGAGAAATTTTGACTACCATTGAGGTGTGTGTGTGACTAAATTTTTTGTCTATGTAAATTTTTACATGTCTGCCTGTGTACATAAAGCAAACCTGTTCCTCTGTGTTATTGATTTAGTTGTGTTATTTGTCCAGTAAAACCAGCTTGCTCTACCTGTATTTGGGGGTTGAAATGGTGCTTGGGGTGCAGAGGGAAAACCACCTGTCGACCCAGAAGTGTTCCCGAATGCATCAAAATTAGCAAAGTCTGCCTCTCCTTTGGTATTCTGTGCCACTTGAAGTTGTGTAGAGGTGTTGTACAGACAAACAGATGGAAGAAAAAAAAAAGTGAGGGGAAAAAAATGGATTAATGAATGAATGCATACAATATCCAAAGACATGAATGACTGCAAAACAAATACAATGGGTTAAACACTACTAATAAAATACAATGGGTGATGTGTTAAATGTGAGGAATAATCAAGAGTAGTAGAGCAGTGCAACTTAAAATGCGTAGCAGCTTATATACCTCGACATTCACTATTTCCCAGTAACACCCAAGAGTCCTTCATGTGCACACCCAAATATAAAGCAGGACTTGTGTGCTTAGCACTACACACATCATTAATTTTAACACACCTGTGTGCATGTTTATTAGGTGTGTTAACGCCACCTTAGTTCTTGCATTAAGGATGAATCTTAAAGGCTCTGAGGGAGAAATGCATTGAAAGCAAATGCTAACAGCCACATGTTACAAGTACTAGTAACCATGGCAATTTGTCTGTCTGATGCAATTTTATAATATATTTTGATACAATCCAAGAGCACATCATGACTCCTGATGTATAGCAAATTCACATCTTCTCCAAACTGGTGGCATCCTGATCCCATCTAATGTAGTAAATACACCACCTCTGGAGAAGTGCCCACCCCACATCCAATATCTATAAACCCAGTTATTTATTGGTAAGAGATTGGTAATTGGGGCTTTTTTTGTTGTTTATTGTGGATTATATGTGCTGAGGACTTCTATCTTCATGTACATTGTACATGCCCAGGGAAATGAGATACTGGTGTGACCTTCTTGAAAAGGCAGTTTAACCAACTCTAGTTGGGATCTCCATCAGAGACAACTTGCTGGCTACGCTATGCCATGCACATTTCAATAGTGAAACTTGAAAACACTGGTTGAAGCAAACCTTGCCTACAAGTGTTTTAAAGTGGTAACTACATTACTTGCTCATGTTTTTGTTAGTTGCAGTGTTATTGGTCTGTTGCTTACTTGTGTGGCTGTTGAAGTGTGCAAAGTTAGCAAAACTGGAGCTGGCGCCTGCATTCATGTTGGGCGGAGCAGCAAAGATGTCACCACCCAAGTCACTGAGGAGGTCATATTTCTTGTCATGGAGCTGCTGCTGCTGGGTTTGTCCACGGCTCACTACAGGAGACTGGTGACGACAAGAGATGCATTTGAAAAAAATTTAATAAATAACTAAACCGGTATAAATGAGCTCCTAAACAGCCTTCATGCAAATTAATAAAGAGGAGATAATAGGCCACATGAAAAAACAGACTGTGGTGACACTGTCTCATTAGCGATGAAAGATGAACCTTATCTCAGTGGGCAAATTTGGTCATTTATCATAAACAAGATGAATATGCTTTTGTCTTTAAAGACATGGCTTCTTAATACTGCTGTGAAACAATTCACAGTCTAATCCTGGACTGCACCTGTTGTCAATAAATCTGTCATTGCATTTGTGCGAAGAGTCGTTATTTTCTTTGTATCTATGAGATACTTTTTAATTAGCAAATCACTTAGCAAATTAAGTCCAATGTAAACATGTCAGTAAAGCATTTAGGGATGTGTGTGTAAATGGATTACTAAGTAACTGTGGTAGTGTTGAACCACAGAGCATTCAGCAAAGTAAACAAGGTCATCAACTGGTAACATCGTTTCCGCTAAAGCCCATCATAAGGTTTCATTTTAACATCGGCAACAACGCTGAGTGTTAACTGTCGATTGATAACCCAGTTCAAAGCTGAAAGTGTAACAGCGTAAATATTCACACCATTGTAAAGACCAACCTGAGGGGAGAATATGTAGTAACAACTACATATTTTCACCTCAACCCTGCTAGGTGTGGCATATATGGCACACTGAACAAGAACCGGTTTATGCCGTCCAACATATGTGTTAATCATATGATGACTTGTGTGCATGTGTGTACACTATGCAAGTCTCACCTGATTTGGTGGGGTGTGCTTGTTGAGGTGTAGAGACGGTGCCGACTCCCCCAGCAGGGACTTGAGTGGTCTAACCTCTGGGGTGCTGCTGGTGCTGCTGTTTGAGGAGCCAGAGATGGAAGCATGGACTGACGCCACTACCTTGGCCTGCTCAGGAGGCACGTACCTTGGAAGCAATCAACAATTTATGCATTACTTACACTAAAATAAATAAATAAATAAATAAATAAATAAATAAATAAATAGTGTTAGTTTTAAACTACCATTTATAAGAGTGAGACACTACAAGTTGTGTGTGCGCACAACAGAGCAGACCACGTGAATGCCTGTCTGCAGCAAACCTAGCATGTTCAAACATGCACTAGTCATTGCTCTCATTTTGATCATATTTCAGACTAAACACTAGATGGATGAGTTGATGTTTTGTAACAACATCCATGCTTACCCAATTCACACTTTGGGTGTATCAAATTTGTCATAACAAAATGCAGAGGATAAATAAAAATCTTACAAGAAGCCGTTAAAGATGCATCACAGTTTGTTGGTTGTTTTCTTTTATCTTTTAAATCACTGAGTGATCAGCGACAATCAGTGACTAACTTTTAAACTTAAACAGTAATCATCTGGCTACTTCTTATTTCACAAACACCAATGACAATTTTATTCAGAGTCAAAAAAGAAGCTCTAGAACATCTAGAAAAAGCTCATTCATATTTCAGTTGATTAAAGCCTATAACTTCGTGGAGCAATTAAGTCTTGCATATAGAGAAGCTTTACTGTAATGACCTAGATTCTGTACATCTCAAGAGGGGTATTCGGTGGCTTGCTAGAGGCTAACTGCTATGAGGCACATGTGAAACATTCCAAGCCAGAGAGAGAGGGAGAAAAAAAAAACCAAAAAAAAAAAACCTTTGCACAATGCACACTGACAAAGATCTTTTCTCAGCAAGCTTATGATACTGACATACCATCTCTTTTTCTCATATTTATCTTGTAGGAACTCCTTGACTTTCTGTGGTTCTCTGAAGTCTGGTACTGAAGAGGTTCTGTCATCATAAAGACCGAGCCAGATCTGTTTACAAACCTGAGAACACACAGAGTTAGAGAAAGGGATTTTTGGAGGAAACGGCACACACACGCACAGAGCTTTGCCATCAGTCATTATTAGTAATGAAATTGTTCCAATAAAGGAAAAATAGACAAGCAAATAAAAAGACAAGCCACATGTAAGATAAAGTTGCAGAGTAAAGAAAAAACAAAACAGAAAACCCCCTCTGACAGATAAAGGGGTTGCGAACCTCTGCCCTGGTGTGAACCTTTGCAGCAATAAGTCCAAAAAAGCATTTCTGTCTTGGGATAAAATTCCACATTGGAGTGGTGGAATTTTATCCCATGCTTTGAACACATTTGACTCTGGGATGAGGGTGGAATTCTTCACGTGGACCACGTGCTTTAGGCTATTCCATTTTAGTTTGCTCAAGTTCAGGACTTTTCAAAACAAGCTATTCCAAAAGATCCACTTTATTTTTCTGTAAAAATATTGGAGAACAAACATGTTTGGTGTACATATTGCCTTAAATAAATTGCAAAATAATATATTTTATGCATCTTAGACTGCAGTGGTCTTATTTCTGTTTCCAGACACAGTGACCTCATTATAACAGCACGGTAGTGGCTCTCTGGGGGAACCAGAAGACTCCCGGTCATCATACAGTTCAAGACAGTAAAGCTGTAGTAGGTCTAAGTTCAGGATGAGCCTTGGAGCGGTGCATCGTTATTAAGGACCACCACAATGACAACCCGGCAAATGAGCTACAAAGAAAGAGAAACAATGACAGGGGGACGGCTGGTGCGAGCTGAATAGTCACGACTGGACTTTCAGGATGTCTAGAAGTAGACCAGTTGTGGATGGCATTGTTCTCCTGGATAAAACATAATAAAAACAAACAAAACACAAACTCTGTGCTGATAAGAGTCACCAACTATACTTGGGCAGCTATTAATATTATCTAGGTGTTGTCAAAATAAATACTTTGTGAGAAAAACACTGCTTTAAACAGGAAAACACTGGGACTGGGCACCAATTTATGACCAACAGTTTATAACATTATTTCCCATATAGACTTTAGTTGGGTGAGCCACCAGCCACATAAATTAAATCCTCCTTCCGCTCAGTGTTTGTCAAGTGCGCTCTATGAAGACAGAAAGGTAACTTACAGGCAGTATTTATAGACCAGCCTTCAAGCGTATATGCATCAGCTCCAACCTTGAGTCTCCTTCATGTCTGCTTTCCATGCCACTTTGCCACATCCTTTAATAGACTGTCCTTCGTGGGTGGCACTGCACTATTTCGTACTCCGTTTACTCGAAATATCTCGTCCCTTTGGTATTTTGCACAGTGCAACTGGTCGATTGTTTATACCTCTCATAAGTAAATAGGTGCCAGTATAATGCATGAAATTCTTGACCTGTCTATTCAATAAAAGTGTGACACAACACCTGTATTAAACTGACAAAACATTTGCCTTACAACAATTTTTGTTGTCGGAAAGTAGCATGCACTTTTTAATCTAGAGTTTGTTTTATAAAACTTTCTACCGCAGTAAAATGATAATAGTCCGCATGAATTTCAAGCGTGCCTAAATTGCCTTATCAAGCATATGTGCAACAGGCTACTTAAATACAAACACTAAAGCAGAACTTTCACAACAGACACAGCCCATTTCAAGATTTTTAGAGGCTGACTTTATGCCAACCTGTCTATTAAATATTGAATAGACGAGGACAAACAATGATGGCTCAACCAAAAGCTAATCTAACTAGTCAGAAAGGAAAGCAGTGGGAAGGTTGACCTCGGGCTTAATTTCTAACTTTATTAATTGACAGGGCCGAGTTGCCGTTCCTACCTCATTGCCATGTTTCTGTAAGAACTCTATTTCCTGTTGCGTGAAGGTTGTCATGGAGATGGACTTGACTCTGTGGGGTGGATTCAGTCCTCGTCTATGGAAAAATAGAAACAAGGGTCAATTTAATTTGAAGACAACATACATGAAAACCTCATCTTGATACACTCCAGAGCCCACCTCTCAGGACGGGACCATTTAATTAGCTGAATGCTGAATGGTTGCTGGTGTGTGTGTGTGTGTGTGTGTGTGTGTGTGTGTGTGTGTGTGTGTGTGTGTGTGAGAGAGAGAGAGACTTAGGACAAGTGAGTAACTGAGGATAAGAAGTCATGATTATAGAGAGAAATGAAAGAGACAAATAATGACAGAGAGAGACATACTGACAGAAAAAGAAAGGGAGTACAATAACCAGAGGAAGTGGGTGAAACTCTCTTCACTTACACTGACTGAACTGAGAGTGTCCAAACATTAAAAGAATGAACAATCTTCCTTAATATAGAAACTTCAATTATGGAGTAACACCCATTAGACCACACAAGCCTGGCTCACTTTCCTTAGAAGGTCACACAGTCAATGCCACAATGGCCCAAATTAAAAATGCCTGGTTATGGTAGGAGTTGAAAAGAGCAATCATTTGTCTATTATTAAGCTCCAGGCCTGATTGTCTGAGCACGTTTTCCTCGAATCGCTTACAGGTGAAAACTGATGTCGTGCTGACTGGCACGGTCACCACCTGTTTTTGTGAGAAGGTGACCACAGAACATTTACCATGCGTGAAGACCACTTTAACTGCGAGTTAACAAAAGTACTTGTCAACACATAAAACATATTGAAATAAATAAATAAATCTTCAATTCTATAAAAAAGGATCTGTGCTTCTAGTTGCTTACATTAACCTTTGCTGTTAATCAGTCTTCAGAAAGTAACTAAAATTATAAATTGGACTGCAACTTCAAATGCCTTTAAAAGCAGAGAAAGTGGTGAGCAGTGAGTAAACTCAAACAGCCATCATCAGCAAATATCATTAGGATAGCCATTACACTGTGCCAACAGTGGCCACAGGCATCTTTTCCTTCCGTTTCCCTTTGCAGCCATCAGCATGTCAGGAGCACAACAGATACACTCGCTTATGGACATGGATAGTGGATTTAATCAGCCATAACACAGATGTGTTAAAGGAAGCATTCCGACAGCACTCAAAGCCCCATTATACAATAGACGTATTTACAGGTATGGTGGACAGATATAAATGATTAAAACAGCTTTTATCAACCTCAGTTTTAATCTCAAACACAGTAACATGCTACAGAGACATAATGACATGGTATTAACATTTAGGAACACACAATTAAAGCAAAGTTAGTTTTTTGATTGTGGATAATATACAAAGAACTCTTAATTCAAGTGTTTTTAAATACTTGAACTCCTGCTTTATCATCTACAAGAACTACCAAGAGTTTTGCATGTTTCCCCTGCATCTTTATAACAAGAAAAGTTTTGTATGAAGTTTACAAACTGAAGAAGTCACTTGGATAAGTGACGAAATGTTTCTGCCACTGAAAACGCTACGTCCAGGTGAACAGGATCAACTTTCTGTGGCTTACAAACACGATGTTATACACAGAGCAGTCAGATGCTGAAGGCATTGAAATACTAGACGGGCCTGTTAAATTATTCACTGCTGTTACCTCTAACAGAACTTGTTGTCATTAAACCTTTTTCTCAATACATCCGTCAGTCAGTGGATTGACTTTAATCAAAAAAAACATTCACTGCTATCTGGTACAGAGTACAGAAGCTACAGTTTAGCTAATTCGTGCTGTTTGTGAACACCCAAAAGACCTGTCGGTTCACATTTAAGAACATAAAATTATGTTATTTCTTTTAGATCATTATGTCAATGTGGAAAAGATTGCATGAAAATGTGTGGGGGTTTTGCTTTCCCTTCATACAAATGCTGAGACTGCCACGTACATGACTAATGTTTAAGCAGTGCACTTTTAGTTTTTAATCATTTACTAGTGCTTTGTGTTAGGCTTACAAAAATATACACACGGCCCAATCACAGCAGAACCACGTCACACTAAAGTAGAAGGACATTACAAATCCCTAAAACAGAGTTTTAAAAACTAAAATGGTCCCCTGATACTGCACTGCGGGGTAGAGAGGAACGGACAAAAACAAAAAACGAATTGTTTTTAAACTGGATACGTTTTTCCAGCTCCCTGAGGAAGATAAGTGACCAAATTCTAGTCTTACGAAGATTAAACTAGGTCAGATAGAGGGAGAGGTTTCCAGAGCCCTTGAGGTCTAAATATTATATCAACGTCTTAGCAGTGTGGTCCCATTGAGGAGTTCTAATTCTGAAAATGTCATTTTTGTTACTTCTATAAATTTTAAAATGTATATTAAGGTGACTTTTTCAGGAGAATTAAATTGCAGTAACAATCAGTAGCTGCACAGTATAAAGGAACTGCTTTTATCACAACGTGTCAGAGAACAGTACCACATATTGCACTGTAAAATAATCATGAACTAGTCCCTATTGCACTAGTTCAGAGATGGGAACTCGGCTCATTTGCATACTGCAACTGCCTCAGGGTAAGAGAAACTGGCAACACAAAGTCTCCAAAGAGAGGAAAGTCCACACACTTCATTTCACTGCTTTAGATCCCTGCAAAAAACGATATTTTAGTCTTTTAACAGTACTGTTATTAAGCATCTCATACAACAGAAAATACCCATTCCTAATTTACTGACTCACTAATTTAGTCACCCCATCCCTGTTTCACAGATTCCACATCATTGTTGAGAAATCAAATGTCAGGGTTATATTAGAGTCATTTCTGGTAACTAGCCATTGATCAGATCATGTATCAGCACATTTGGTGTCTGTGACACCTTCCCAACTCTGATTACTCAGGAACACATAGGTCAAGTGGGGTTACTTCCCGTCATGAGCAAATCTCTAGTAAGACATCGATTGGCGTTCCTCCTGGGAAAGGCTCCACCATCATGAGGAATGTGTTTATATAGCAAATTCCAACCCCACCCTTTAAACAACTACAGCTACGGGAGGAAGACGGTTATTAAGAAGTAAGTTGTTGTGAACTCTCCATCACTCCAGAGAAAGTCAACAGTGTTAATCTTAAAAGAAAAAGGAATTAAAAAGCCACCTGTAATGTTGGATGCATTTGCTTTGGTTTATTTGGACAAAATAAAGAAAACACGATGGTTATTCAGAAAATTGGCATAATAAGCCAAGACAGTGATTGAAATTATCAAGTCTGCGCATGAATTTTAACTACTCATAATTCCAACGTGACCTCACAGCCACTTCCTGTTGCTCACATACACAACATCACATGCTGCTGATGTAGCAGCACAGTGGGGCCACACCACTTCCTGAACCTAAAAATCAGATCAAGCTTCCTGCGCATATCATACAGACATCTATGCTTTCAGCCCCACACTCTTCCAACAGAAAGATTTTCCTTGAATGTGACCTTTATCTAACCAAAAGTCAGCGAGAAAGACAAAAAAGAAAGGATATAAGGTTTAGAACAGAGATCTCAAGCTAAAGAAAATGAACTTAATTAGCTCTTATTACAGGATTTAAAGCAATAGGGCAAGCACATGGGAAATACACAGTGGCGTCCCCACAGAAACACCCACTGGTGGCGGTAAACGAAGGGAAAGTATCAGCCAGCATGTAATTTATCTAATGCTCACCAAAGCTAAGCTACATTAACTCAAACCTGGTCAGTGGGCATTTACTAAGCAATAAAAACCTTACCTTTTACCTACAACATTTTTAGAATGATAATTATTCATGAACAGAAAATGGCAAGGTGATCTGTATAAAAGGTGCATGCAGATCTAATTCAAGTATTTGTGTCTTTATGGGTGATGGTGGTAGCACTTATAATTTATTTTAGCATTTCATGTGTGTGTTGTTTCTCAGTGAACTACATGTCAGTGCAGTCTGAAAGGTCGATTACTGCAGAGTATTGAGAATGATTAGTGCAACACGGGCAGTGAGAGGGAAACACTTCCTCCATGTTGTACATCTTTTTCCCCATTTACCACTAAACTGATGTAAAACTGAGTGACGAAGTGATTTGTTATTATTGCATTAAACCATTTTCTTTCTGAATGTATCCAGCATCATACAACATGCAAGAAGGAAATATGACAGCTGAGCTGAGACGTATGTGTGTGTGTGGCAAAATAAGAAGAAGCGGAGTGCTCCACTAATCCCAAGCTAAAAAAAATTGCTTATTACACAACTGCACAAAGACTTTAATTAAAAAAAATACAAATAAAACCCTCCACTCTGCTACAATGAAACTACAATGCTTGTAAATGCATGGGCTTCAGAGCCGTCGTAGGAGGTAAACTGCAGATACACGGAGAGAAAAAAAGCTTTTGATCAACTGCGTTGTCAGCTCTAATTCGAGCTGCGATGTTATGCCAGAGGATAAATAATTCGAAAACACAAAATAGATGAGTGAACTACGCACAATTGATAACAGATTTTACATTTATCTCAGTCGCGTCTTAAGATAACACGACTTTCGCTCTGCCAAGTGTCGACCATCACGTTTGCAGCGAAAATGCGGTTAAGTGACTCAAACATATGGCTCCACAGGGCGGACCGGCTCAGTTACTAGGTGGTGCTTCCTAACGTTACCAGCAGCTGGAAGCGGCAGCAGCTGGCTTATCTGTGGACCTAGCTTGCAAGTGTCAGATAAGTTCACTTGCTAACACTGGATGCTAACGTTAGCTAGCATCTCGGCTGGTTGGTGCGCTCGCCTGACACCTCTATGCACCCCGCCCAACGCACCACACTGCAATGTCAAAACAGCTAAACTCACACTACCTCCGTCTTTTCTAGTTCCCCATCTGACGGTAGCTAGTGCTACTATTTGACTAACTGGCTGGGTTTACCCCGTGTAGCCGAAGCGCATTAATATCGTGTGCGCCATGTCTAAGCTAAGGTCACTGTACAACTTAATACTTACAGGATGCCAGAGCAGGAGGTACAGACGAAGGAACCCACAGTCATGTTGGCGTAGGTCGGGCCTCGCTGGTCGCAGTCAAAGCACTTTCTGTTGGGAGGCAAACTCGTCATTTCTCTCAGCATCTTCAGGTGTTTCTCCTCCTGTTTTCTCTTCGCACTCGCCGCCATGGTAAAGAATCTATAGCGGGGGTTGAATAAAACCGTGAGAGACGGAAAGCTAGCTAGCTAAAACTAAAAGAGCTGTGCTTTCTTCTTTTTAATGGTTGTCGACTCGTAAAGACAGAGTGAATCGCTAGGTGGGTCTGTTGTCAGGGCGGCCTCGCGTCTCCTCGAACAAGGAGTTTTCAGGCGATGGACCTGGCGCTAGCTAACGGGACAAGAGCTATGCTGCCATCTACTTCCGCCTTCGCTTAAATCCCGTTATGCAGCCACAGCGAGTCTTCATGACTCAAGGCCAAACGTGAGCCCATTAAATTCATCACAGTCAAAGATATCCACTACAGATAGAGGCTATTATTTTTAATCTAATTTTATTTAAGTTGGCATTAACTGTGTCGTATGCGCTGCAGGCATTTTAACGGCATCAACAACACAATTTAAAGATTGTGGCAGGTAGCGGCTATGTGAGTTACTTTATCTTCAGTTCAAATTGTGACGTGTACATAGAAGCAGACAGTACGCTCGGTGAGTTGTCTGAAGAATTGCAGCGGGCCACAACGCAAACTGAAACAAAGAGCATCATCTTGTTTCTAACGGGACAGCTCTTTGGTTGTGCTCCAGACAGCGCAAAGAGCGCCACTATTCTTTCTTTAACGCAACAGCGCCACTGTGCGGTATTGGTTACTACAAGATTGTAACTAGACCCAATGTTAATCAAGTCATTAAAAATGCACTGCGTCACTATATGAAAAAAAAATTAATGAAATACGTCAAGTATTAAAAGATACGTAAAATTCCTTAAACGCAATGCTTGATTATTTGTTTCAGGAAAATGTACGATCGAAAATTAATATTAGATATTTAAAGATATTTTAAGAATTTGTCACAGGAGCATGTGCAAATACCCTGATGAAATGTGTGGAGAAATATGAGTGAAAAAGAGTCAGAATGGATGTGTATTTTACACACTTTATTACAACTGAATAACATATTATTACATAATACAAAGTAAACCAAATGGTATTTGTATTATTTACAAGAGTATTTTGTGCAATGGACTTCAGAACCTCTGTTGTAATCTAGGGTGAGCTGACCAGTCTAGTTCACTACTGAAGATGTCATCAGTTACTGGAACAATATTCTGTCTGAGCCAGATCTTACAACATTTTTTATTAGAACATCAAGACTTATAGTGCTCTGCTTTGACTGAAGGACCTGACTTTTAAATACCCAACAAGAACCAGTTATGTCAAGTTCAGCACACTCTGCAATCAGTGGGAAGCCTTAAGTCTTCAAATGAGATTCCTGTCCGTCCTTGCCCCCTTTAAATGTTTTTTGCTGCAGCTTTAGAGATGTTAATTAATTGCTGGCTGACTGAATAAAAGGCTGCTGTTGTTGTTGTTGTGGAGAAAAGTCAAAGGGTCTGCGGTTCTCAGTGTAGCCATAAAGTTTCCGGAGGGCCACGCGAGCTGCTTCTTCCTCGGCTGCTGCAAGCGTCTCTCCTGGACCCTGAGCCAGTAGCTTCTTGTCACTGAATTAACAAAGAGGTGAGCAGACAAAAATGTAAATTCTTCATAGCATTAATTTTAACCCATCGCATCCGTTTTAAATTTAGAACAGTAACAACGCACGAACAACAGAACACATACCTGTATAAGCCAACAAAATACAGTGGCAACACTGTGCTGGCTCCAGCAGACCGGATGAGCCGAGGCTCCGGCAGAGGAGTTTTCCTCTTAGTAAGCTCTTCCACCAATAGTCCCATGGGGTTGACCACAGTCCACATATCAAAGAGGTCCTTTCCTATCAGCTGAGTCACCAGAAAATCCTAGGAAGAAAGTTGAGGTAGGATTAAAAGAACAAAATGTCCCACCACTGGGAAAAAAACAGTGGTGGTTTGTCCACATTTCCAGCAGTAGTGCTTCATTAGAGAGTTGAGGATACAATAACACAAAAATGTTTTAATGTCCAGATCTGGAGCATTTAACATTGCCTTCTGTAAGAATATTTCACCCAATTTTTGCATTGAATGTAGTCACCACAGCAGAGGCAACTGAGCAATGTGGACAAATTATGCTTCCTTTAAGCGAATTATTACGTGCCAATGATTTTGTGCCATAAGCGACCTACCCTGAGAAATAATCCAGTTCGCTCAGCTCCACTGCTTTCCTGCAGAGCTCCGATCACTGCCATGAAAGTAGAACAGAGCACATCATCTGGAACAGGGAATTCTGCACTCATTGTTAGGTCTTCAATGCCCAGATTTCTGGCTACATAAGTGAGGACTGCTGGACTGGTGAGGTGCCCTACAATACTCTCCACCCCGATGGCCGGGAGGCTCGGGAAGCTTGCCCTGCACCAGTCGATCAGGAAGCTTTCAGCGAACGCAGACCCCTTTTTACTCAGCTGCATATTATCTTTTAGAACAAGAGCGGCAGTCTCAGATTCCACACCCAACCCCTTTCTCTTCTCTTGCTCCATCTGCAGGTAACAGGGATTGATGAAGGCTGTTTTCAGGAGCTCAAGAGAGAAATTTTCATGCAGGCGATGGGTGAAAGCTTGAATCTCTGCATGGTAATCCCAGTGAGGCTGCTGGGATCTGAAGAAGAAGAAAAAAGTAAATACCAAACCGAAATAGGAGTGTACAGTGGCTAAAATCATGTCTAAAATCACTAAAAGCGTGTACAGAAAGTCTTAGAAGGCCATGGCCAAAGCATACGGTCATTAAAATATGACATTTTTATATATTAAATCAATGATGAAATTAGAAGATTAACCGAGATCACGGGGAGGATCTTGGTTTTCTACCCTTGGGCAAAGAAGCTTCGACAGCTAGCTATGCTTCTGGTGTTATTTGGAAAAACCATGAAACCAGTAACGCCACACGCAGCGCTTAAACATCTGCATTAAACAATTGTAAAATTGCACTAAAATGCCGTCCATATGCACGCTTCTCAACGGACTATGAAAAAATAAACACATTGAAACATCAAATACACGAATGGCCTTGAGACGCTCTCTAGTGATTTTTGGCGTTACCGTGGCGTCGGAGGTGGAGGTCCTTCCAGCTTCAACTTCTTCGCCATGAGGTACGTGTAAGCTTTCATCCATCGCTTTTTCTCTCTAACCTGTGACAGTGAAATATCCCTGCAGACGCGCTGGCAATGAATTCCTAATGTCAAAGCACCACGATTTAGTAAGTACCCTGACGCCATGTTGGGTCCCTAAACAGCAAGGTGCAACCACTAAAAGTGTCCGACACGGAGCAACAAAGCATATCCGGTAGGCTGGAGCGTAAAGACGGAGCGTTACCATGGAAACAAGCGTAAACGGTAACTAATATTAACGACCGGGGCAGGCTGCTGATTGCTATTTATTCGACTGTACAATTCAGAAACGCCTATAAAACCAATCGTTAAGAAGTATTGTATGTTTCTGATATCAATTTTAACGATATCCACTTCGGAAAATCAAGAAAGGATGGAAGATCAAGTGTTGGTAGCAACTGAAGTCGAAGGTGGGGATGCCCGAGAAAGTTCTGACAGCAGTGGAGCTCAAGAAGACCTTGGGAAAAAAGAGCTGCAAAGTTCACCTCAGGAGAAAAATGAAAAACACTCAGGACCACGGATGACCAAGAAATTCCTGAGAGACCACTGTAAGCAGAACAAACTGTACATAACACCATGCCACAATGATGTGCTGTATCTGCATTTCAAAGGTTTCTCCACCATTGAGAACTTAGAGGAGTACACAGGTCTGAAATGTCTCTGGCTGGAAAGCAATGGGCTCCAACGCATTGAGAATCTAGATGCTCAGACTGATCTGCGCTGCTTGTTCCTTCAGCAAAATCTCATATACAAGCTGGAAAACCTAGAGCCTCTGAAGAAACTCTGCACCCTGAACGTCTCCAACAACTACATACACATCATAGAGAACATCTCCTGCCTTCCTGACCTGAGTACTCTGCAGATTGCCCATAACAAGCTGGAAACTGTTGGTGACATAGAGCATTTGAGTCAGTGTCTGAACATTAGTGTATTAGACCTCTCTCACAACCTGTTACACGACCCTGATATCCTGCCTGTGCTTGAGGCCATGCCAGAACTGCGTGTACTGAATCTAATGGGAAATGAGGTCGTGAAAAAAATCCCAAACTACAGAAAAAATATGATTGTACGCCTCAAGCAGCTCACGTTTCTTGACGATCGCCCTGTGTTTCCTAAAGACAGGGCATGTGCTGAGTCGTGGGCAGTGGGAGGGCTGGAAGGGGAACGCCAGGAGAGGGAGCAGTGGGATACACGAGAGAGGAAGAAAATTCAGGAAAGCTTGGATGGAATGGCAATGATTCGGAAGAAGGCCCAGGAAAGACGCAGACTCAGAGAGTTACAGGATAAAGGTAATCAGCTTTCAGCTTTTACTACCCTCGTCTGTATACTGAGAGTAAATGTGGATGAATGTTTACACAGTATAATTGTTTCATTTCAGGGAAAACCGATGCTTCCTCTACTCCAGAAACTACTACTGAGGAAAACGGTACCCAGATTTTAACTTCTTCACAAGGTGACAAGATACAAGCTTTTGTGCAGGACTGCCTGGATGTCTATGAAGAGTTCTTAGAGAAACAGTCAAAACAGGGACTTCTTGAAAATCAACCAGCAAGTAAACATCTTGAGACCAAGGAGGCAGGTCAACTCCTGATGAGAGAGCAGTTAGATGAAGATACCCAGGACCATTCTCCGATAACGCACACCGTAAGAGAAGAGAAAGGAAGGGAAAAGATCCCAGCAGATGAGCAAGGCAGTACTGTAGGGCACATGTTAGAGACAGAAAATAAACAAGAAAAACAGTCCAAGAGAAATGAAGCAGAGAGAGAGCAGAGTAAAAACAAACAGCCTCCCCTTCCTGAAGCCGATGACGATGTACTGGTACATAGTCCTGGACCACGGATTACAGAGCTACAAGATGCAGAGCTGCTGGAAACCATTCACCTTCCTCCAGCAAGTCGCTCATTGCGTATTGATGAGTTGCCTGATTTGGAAGATGTGGACACAGAAGACTTTAACGCAGCGTTCTCTTGTAGGCAGGCCTTTAAACCAAAAATAGAAGTCATATCAGGTGACAGCAACAGGGAAGCACCAGCTGGGATTCAGAGTGACAGCATCTCCACATCCGCTCCAGCTAAGAGCTTTTTGTTCCTAACAAGTGGCTGCGACAAATCACCGGCTGTCTCTGGCAATTCTACATCGCTGGTGTATCCAGAGGATGAGGGTGCGCCTTCCGACCCGTTAAACTCAA